GAACACCCAGACAGACACACAGCCCACGGAGGACAGGGCAAAGCACCAGCTCAGCACACGATCCATCCCCGCGAGGCACAGCTCCGCGCTCCAGCAGCTGCTGATGCTGCACGAGGCCTCCGCACGCCTCGGGGAGGGAGGTGAAGTCAGCAAACCTCACCCATCAATTAGCCCTCAATTAGCCACGCTGTTTGTATCCCAAAAATGTTGCTCAGAACCCAGGAACCCGCTGCTGTTAAGTGGCCCCGGCGCTCCCAGCAAAGCAGCGCCAGGGCTGCCCAGGGCAGCGGTTACACACAGAGCTCATCCGACAGGAATCCAACCTCCTTCCGCTCCTCTTCAGCTGTCCAACGGTTCTGGCTGTGCTCCGTGGCAGCGGGACTGCTGACATCACAGCTGCATGCTGCACTGGGGACAGCCTCTCTCTTACAGTCGCTGCCCCTGAATTGCACTGGGTGCCATCTGTCTCTCTTCTTGAGAAAGACTGACTCTAAACAAGGAAAACGCATCAATAGCCGCGAGCCCTTCAGAAAACACAGCCCCAAAGCTCGTCTCTGCAGGACTAATTAATCCAAGTCTATGGCGGGTGCTCCTGGCCATGGAAGGGGCTGGGACCGGTGGGCTTTAAGGTCCGTCCCCACCCAAAGCTCTCCGTGATGCTGAGAGCCCATAAATGGCTCTGAAGTGCTCTGCCCTCCACACCCGGGGGGAAATGGGATCTGCAGAGATGAGAGGAGTTCCCACAACGAAAGTTACGAAAAGAGTGTCAAAGAATCACAGAGTGTGAAGGCCTCACCTTCAAAGAAACTGATCTAGAAGGTTATGTACATACACATACATTTCCTTCCCTGCTTTCTGCTGATGCACCTCTCCTTCCTGACAGCACTTACGGTATTCCTGCTGCTACAGCTTGCTCCTTCCACCTCCTGCTGGAGGAAACTCAAAGAGAGGAATTAACCACCGGCCAGCAAAAAAGGTGCAGGAAGAAGGGAGGTAGGAAATGAGAGAAGAGCGAACAGCACAGCGAGAAACGCAGACACGGCGCGAGGATTCATCTCCTGCTCCATCCCAAGAGGGCAGAACTCGCTTTCACGGGCACTGAGGGGCTCAGGACACCGCCGTGCTCACTGCCTGCAGCCCAGCAGCATCCTGCACCCCAAGGATAACCAACGGCTCAACTTCTGTGAGAGAAGTGCTGTGGGGAGGCCCTGCTGCTCCCCAGCTCCCAGACAGACGCAGCAGCTCACACAGCTGTAAGGATGCGGTCAGATGCGGCCGTCCCAGCACAGCTGAACTCTGCTTCTGAAACAAAGACCTTCAGGATATCTCAGACTTTAACAACAGGTTCTAAAGGTTGCACGCTCCAGATGGGCTGCGCTCCCACAGCTCTTGCCATGGCCCAGCAGATCCACGTACCCACCAAAGACTATCAAGTATCTGAAGCTTAAGGAGGGAAGGTTTAGATTAGACATCAGGGGGAAGTTCTCCAAAGAGAGAGCGGTGAGGTGCTGGAACAGCTGCCCAGAGAGGCTGTGGATGCCCCGTCCATCCCTGGAGGTGTTCAAAGCCAGGTTGGATGGGGCCCTGGGCAGCCTGGTCCAGCATTAGGTGGAATGGTTGGTGGCCCTGCCTGTGGCAGGGGGATTGGAGCTTCATGATCCTTGAGGTCCCTTCCAACCCTGGCCATTCTGTGGTTCTAACAGTACAGAGTTTTAAAGAAGCCAGCATTCATCTCTCCGGCTCCTTGTTGCAGAGCAAAGCTGAGCTCTGAGCTGAACCTCAACACTGTGACCATCGGAGCTCCCACGCTGCTGCTGCTGCCTGCAGCCATCCCCAAAAAACAGTGCCCCAAACAGCAGTGCTTTGTCATTTGGGGAACAAACTGGGGTACAGCACAGTCAGCACGGGGCAGGAATGCAGTCCTGAGGAGCACTCACCCCGTGCTGCTCTGCAGGATGCAAAACCTGGGACAATAACCCTTTCCCACCTTCTTATCCTTACCCACCAGCAACAGCTGCTTGCCCTTAGGGTGGGCGGTCACATCACAGCTGAAACGGCCCCAAAGAGGGGCAGCAAATGGTCTGAATTGGAAGAACCCCAAAGAAGAGGCACCAAGCAGGCCTGACCAAAATAACCCAAAGATGGGCAGCGAATGGCCCCGAGCACAAAAACTCAAACAGGACAGCAAACTGTGCCGTGGGCTGGGAGTGAGTTGGAGCTCCTCTGCCTTTCTCCAACTTGCTGGGAAATATCTCCACTGCCTGCTGCAGGGAGCCTGCTTTGCAAGGGGGTTGGACTCAATGATCTGCAGAGGTCCCTTCCAACCCCAACAGTTCTGTGATTCTGTGATCTCAGGAGAAGGAGAACCGTAGCTGGGGGCAGTCCCTTCGCTTTAGTCAGCACAGGGGAAGTGCAGATTCCATCCTGCACAGCTGACGTGCATGCAGCCACTCAGATCATAGAATCACAGAATGGTTTGGGTTGGAAGGGACGCCAAAGATCATCTAGTTCCAACCCTCCTGCGATAGGCAGGGACACCTCCTCTACACCAGGCTGCTCCAAGTCCCACCCAGCCTGGCTTTGTGCCCATAAACAGAGACAAACCATGTCTGCCTCCTGAAACTACGTAACAGCCACTCAAGGGAAGACACAGCACCTCTAATCATTTCATGACTTTGTAGAGCACGTTTAAAAGCAGAGCACTCACTCTACAGACACTGCCCCGCTCCCAGCAGCACGCAGGGTCCCACCAGCCGGGTGGATCCATCTACAGCACGGTGAAAGGATGGGGAGGGGTGTGCAACCCCTCACGGTGCCTCAGCGAAGCAAAAATCCCAGAATCCCAGAACCGTGGGGGTTGGAAGGGACCTGTGGAGCTCCTCCAGCCCAACCCCCAAAGCACTTCCCTACAGCGGCTGCAAAGGAAGGTGTCCAGGTGGGTTTGGATCTGTGCAGAGAAGATTCCCATCCCTCTGGGCAGCTGCCACACTCACAGCACAACATTTCATCCTCCTGTTCAGAAGGAACTCCCTAGGCTCTGGTTTGTGCCTGGTGCCCCTTGTCCTGTTGCTGGAGCAGCACCAAACAGAGCCCAGCCCCCACCCTTCAGATATCCATCAGCACGGAGCACAGGATGTGAGAACACAAACCCAGGCCACGAGCACTCAATCCCCACGTGCTGCGGGAGGACGGGGCACCAGCTCACAAGCAATGACTTGCAAAGTGAAGGAGGTATCAGCAGAGCACACGCGGAGCAGCTCTCATCTCATTACTGCCACACGGAGTCAGATAAGCACAGAGAAGCAGGCGGAGAGCAGCGACGATCCGGGCTCATAAAACCATTCCCAGCAAATGGGAAATGTGTTTTTATTTTGGTCCTGAATGCTGAGCAGCAGTCCCACTCCACAGAGCCCCTCGCTCCTACCTGAACCCACCCCTCCATAGGGAAACTCCGTTCAACTCATACCAGCTAAAGCACTTTTCTCCTCTTCAAGCATTTTGGTTGCAAACACGTGATTTCTGCTCAAAACACAGCCAGGCTGAGTGCCAGCAAGAAGTTCAGGTCAGATGGAGGGAGAATTTTCCTCCCAAAAAGAGCAGCCCGGGTGCTGCCCAAGGAGGTGGGTTTGGAGGAAGGGGGAGGGAGTGTCACCATCCTGGATGTGTTAAGGAATGTGAGATGTGGCTCAGTGGGGATGGGGTGGGCATCTTGGGGGTGTTTTCCAACCTTGTTCAAGGCCAGGTTGGATGGGGTCCTGGGCAGCTTGGTCTTGTATTAAATGTGGAGGTTGGTGGCCCTGCATGTGGCAGGGGTTTGGGGATTCGTGATCCTTGGGGTCCCTTCCAACCCAACCATTCTATCATCTCAACCTCAGCCATTCTGTGGGGTTGCTTCCGACCCAGGCCATCCTGTGATCCCAACCTCAGCCATTCCGTAGGCTCTCTTCCAACCCAACCGTTCTACCATCCCAACCTCAGCCATTCTGTGACCCTGCAGAAGGATTCCTGCAGCGCATTCAGTCCCTCTGGTCAGAGCCCAAGCTGTGGGCAACCTGCTCCCTTTAAGCTCAGGAGAACATGGCGGTCAGAAGCACTACAAAGTGCAGCCCATGGCGGTGTAGGTAAATGCAGACACCCCGACCCTACAGACAAACCCCCAGCAGGCCTCAATCAGACAGAAAACAGAGGCTGTGGATGCCCCGTCCATCCCTGAGGTGTTCAAAGCCAGGTTGGATGGGGCCCTGGGCAGCCTGGGCTGCTGTGAAATGTGGAGGTTGGTGGTCCTGTCTGTGGTGGGGGTTGGAGCTTCGTGATCCCTGAGGTCCCTTCCAACCCAACCATTCTATCATCTCAACCACAGCCATTCTGTGGGCTCCCTTCCAACCCAACTGTTCTATCATCCCAACCTCAGCCATTCTGTGACCCTGCAGAAGCATTGCTGCAGTGCATTCAGTCAGTCCAGTCAGAACCCGAGCCTGGGCTACTATTAAATGTGGAGGTTGGTGGCCCTGCCTGTGGTGGGGGTTGGAGATTCGTGATCCTTGAAGTCCCTTCCTACCCAACCACCCTGTGATCCCAACCTCAGCCATTCTGTGGGCTCCCTTCCAACCCAACCATTCTGTCATCCCAACCTCAGCCATCCTGTGACCCTACAGAGGGATACTGAAGGATCTGTGATCCTTGAGGTCCCTTCCAACCCAACCATTCTGTGATCCCAACCTCAGCCACTCCGTGGGCTCCCTTCCAACCCAGCCGTCCTGTCATCCCAACCTCAGCCACTCCGTGCCCCCACAGAAGGATTCCCGACCCCAGAGCTCCCTTCCAGCCCAGCCATTCTGTGACTCTGTGCAAACGCCGCCAGCCCGCCCAGCACAACCCCGGCCCGGGCCCCGGCACAGCGCTCTGCCCGCGATGGAACGGCGCGGGGCGGCGACGGACGAGCCGTGGAGCCGCCGAACGGAGCGGGTAACGGAGCGGATAGCGGAGCCGCGCCTCCTCACCGGGCTCCAGCAGATCAGCGGGTCGGTCTCGGGATCCTCCACCAGCGTCCACAGCTTCGTCAGGAAGGCCGACACGTTGCTGCCGCCCGGGCCAGCGCCCACCGCCGCCGCCGCGCCGGGACCTTCCATGGCCGCGGGGCTCCGGGACGGGGAGGAGAAGGGCGGAAGGCTCAACGGCGCCGGCGGGGCCGGGAGCAGCGCTGAGCGGGGCGGGCGCCGGGGCCCTGCATGGCCGCCGCCATCTTGGGCCGCCTCCGGGACGAACCCCCCGCGCCGGGACGCGTCGCGCATGCGCGGCACCGCCCCAAGCCCCGCCCCCTCGGCGAGGCGCATGCGCACTTCACGCATTGGGAGGCTCCGTGCCCTACGCGCATGCGCGGCGCGAGCTTCAGCGGGAGCTCCGCCAAGCGGCGCATGCGCCACCCAGCCGAGCGACGCTTCCGTGCGCATGCGCCTCCCCGCCCTCTCCCCCGAGGGTCTTGACGCGCATGCGCAGCGTGCCTGGCTGCGGCAGGAAACGGGAAATCCGGAAATGAACCCGGCAGGGGGCGGGGCGTGACCTTTGACCCCGCGCACGCGGAGGACGGCGGCAGCAGCGGCAGCGGCGCACGCGGGACGCGGCTGTGAAGACCATGGAGCAGGTCGGGGCGGGTTGCCATGGTTACGGGCCTGGTGGGCTCGGGGCTTAGGCCTGGTTCCGCTTCTAGGCCTGGTTCCGGGTGTGGGCACTGGTTCTGGGTTTGGGGTCTCTCGGTTCTGGGCGGGGCTCCGGGCTGTGCGCCTCGGGCCTGGCTCTGGATCTGAGGTTCCGGGTTTTGTGTTGGGGGCCCAGGTTTTGGGTCTGGGGGCCTACGCCCGGGTTCTCGTTTGGGGTCTGGGTTCTGGGCCTGAGGGTCCGTGTTCTGGGCCTGGCGTCCTGGGCCCGGTTCCAGCTCCCACCGGTACCATCCTGACACCCCCCGGCCTCCCCCTGTGCAGCCCCTGGAGCTCGAGAGCGATGACGACCTGACAGACAGTGAGGAGAGCGTTTACTCGGGGCTGGAGGACTCCGGCAGTGACAGCACCAACAGCAGCGCCGGGGAGGAGGAGGAGGATGAAGAGGAGCGGGAGGAGCACGGCAACGGGGCAGCCCCCGAGGTAAGGAGCGGGGATGGGGGGGGCTGCCTGGGTGGGGGGGCACTGCTGGAGCACTGCGCCCGGTGCTGGGCTCCCAGTTCAGGGCAGACTGGGAGCTGCTGGGAGAGCCCAGCGGGGGGTGCGGAGATGGGGGGGACCTGGAGCCCCTCCTGGTGGGGACAGGCTGAGAGCCCTGGGGCTGTGCGCTGGGGGAGAGAAGGCTGGGAGGGGTCTGAGCAGCGCTGATGGGTGTCTGGAGGGTGGGG